CCAGGGCCACGAAGAGTCATATAGCGTACTTACAGAAGACCTAACATACTATAAACATCTAAGAGTGCTCAGTATCACCAAAGTCAAAATTCAAGCTCTTCCAGATGTCAGATAAAACAGGTTCAGGGTGGGCACTGAGCAAGAGCAGCTGCTGTCACCATCTCATGACAACTAGGAGATGCCTAACTCGCACCATACTTCAGCACTCTCCTCCCGCAGTGTCCGAGGTCTGACTATCCCAGAGTGGGCAGCAGTGGGCCTGGTGGGACTATAAAATTGCACCTTAAAGGCAGACACACCTTTGGACACAACAAACTTCTGCAGCTGCACATTGCAAAATCTCAGGGAGCTCTCCTGTTCCACCATTGCGAAGGCAAGTTCACTCTTGAGAAGACCTGCAGAGAGCGTCTTCCTCCGTGTTAGCAGGATGCAATGAGGAACAGGCCCATCAGGCACTGCTCCATGATTAACAAATCAAACCAGTAGAAACAGGTTTCAGTAGGACATTTGTTGTACACTTGTTCTAACACTAGAGAAGGGACTTCTGACTCATTCCCACCTGTCGCCCCACCTGGAGAAGGTTCACATGACAAGGTTTTATATTTCATCATTTAAAAGACATTAAGAAAGCTATCAGCACACTTAGGTAAGCAACCGGACAGGGCACCAGCGATTACTCTGTATTAGCAACTGCACACCTTCACTGTGTGGTGGAGAGGTGCGAGTTCACACCCCGGATGTGTTAGTGTGGCACACCCTGCAATAGGGTGTTACTTTCTAATGTCTTAATAAAAGTATTTTCTTTATTAGTTGCCTCCTATGAGCACACAGACGGCAGCACTGATGCAAGAGGTACTCCCTCCAAACCTTGGACAAAGCTTAGTAGAAGCTTAAACAAAAAGAAATGGTAGGGGTTTGGATTTTTATTTTATTTATTAGACATCATCTCAAGGGAACAGCTTTGCTCTCAAAAGGAAAAAAAAACTCTAACGGGCAGAAAAGAAGAGCAAATGAACCATCAGTTGCAAAAACACAGATAAGGCCCTAAAAAAAACAACAGTAAAAGTCCTGTTATGATTTGATTAAATGTGGGAGTGAATATTTGGGGCAAAATAACCTAGGTGCTGCCATGACACCAACCCATCTAAAAGCAGTTTTTCTTTCATTGCATATACTCACTAATACCAGCATAGCCTTCGAAAGAAAAGACTACATTGTGCAGGTGAGGATATGCAGGCACACATGGGTCACTCCACTCTGTGCTGCTTTTTTCATACGGGAAATTTTAAGAAACTACATCCAACTCCTCAAAACTTTCACATCAGTCATCCACACACATGAGGAACTGTAGCTATGTAGCAGAGGCATTCACAACAGACTGAACTTGGGCTCTTTAGAGTCAGAGCAGAAGACCTCTGCGGCTTGAGCTGATGGATCCTCAAAAATACTTTTGATAGTTTTGAGCTATATATACCTGGAAGGTAACACATGAAGGGTCAGACCACACCCGAGGGCCACAGTGTTCAAACCCCCAGACGGTGGCTTCAATTGCTTTCAGTTATCGCAGAATACATTTGAGATACGGTCGTCAACACCCGTGGGACAAACCTTCCCACACAGCTACCTCTGCACAGAGGAACAAGAGGTATACTACTTGACAAGCAGCAGCACAGTGAAGGCTAATTCTGCAAGATACCAACATGCCCTGTTCCTTCCACCTTCAGATCATAAAACAGTGTTTTCCAGAGACTACTGACGGAGACATTTATCAAGGTAAAGATTACAGCGCTGCCGAAGCCAAAACTAGCGGTAAGATTTGTCATCAGCTGGAGGGTATGGATGATACACACTCCCTTTTAGAGTAGAAATTTAGTAGTAAGGATATCATAGTACCAGGAACACATAAAACTAGTTCAGACAGAAAGCTGGTAAGACCTTGCTCTAAGTATCAATTGTGAATTACAGGTACCTGAGGAAAGCAAAGGACACCAAAGCAAGGTCCATCTCTTGTGATGGTTTACCTTGGACTCTCGTGAAGTCCACTCTCTCACCAAGACAGGGCAATATCACGACAGTAATTTTAATTTGCTCTCCATTCTATGTGCACGTGAAGACCTCTTTTGTTTTAGGAGCCAGAAACACATTAGCCATTTGGTTTTAATTACATGAAAATTGAACTCGATGCTACATTAACTTCAACTTTTACTCTAAAGAGAAGCAGACTGGAAAGAGTAATCAAGAGAGAATGGTTAGACTAACAGCCGTCATATATGACTGTTCTTTGACAGAAACAACAAAAATTAACCATGTCAGCCATCCCCAAC